AACCCAACCCAACCTATTGGGTTAATGRGTTGACAGCGGGTTGACCTGTTTAYGATTTTTTTAACCCAATCTGTTAAATAAATAGGTTAAACCYGGGTTGACCCATTTAATTTTAAAATTTTAAATAAAAAAAGAACTTGAGTATTTTTAACTTTTTTAAATAAAATATGGCACAACCACAAATACAACCAATTTGTTCAAAGTTTGAATAAAACACAACCACAACAAATATATTGTTCAAAATAAATTGAATTTTTTTAAATTCTAAGTAACTTGACTTCCACTTTCATCAACCCCAATTTCACTCTCATACCTAAAATCCTAAAATCATTAGTCCATCAGCAAGTGTAATTCATGCGTACAAAATAACAACTTATATGTAGCTTGTATAATTATGTCAATGAAGACGAATGATAACAATTATCTTTGAGGTATAGGTACATTGATAAAAACAAATAGCCACACCACACAAATAGGGATGGTGATTTGACCCGACTCGGTGGGGAACCCGGTTCACCCGACCCGGACGGGGACGGGRATTCCCCGCTAAACCGGGTACCGGGGCCGGGGCCGGGGATCCCCGGTTGAGGCAAGCGTTGGGGCCGGGGCCGGGTATAGTATCCCCCGACCCGCCCCGTACCCGGTATATATATAAATATTAAATATTTAATTATTTGGGCTTATGTTATATTTTAATTATTTGGGCTTATGTTGATATTTTAATTATTTGGGCTTATGTAATTGATATGTGAGAGTCCATCGTCTTCCATCAGTCCAACCCATACTCCATTGACTCCTCCATCCCTACCATCAGTCCATACTCCATCGACATCGACTCCTCCATCCCTAAAATTCCTCTCGACAGAAGACAGTCGACGACTCTCCGCTCTCGTCAACACTCCAGTCTCCACTCTCCGCTCTCGTCGACTTCGATCTCTTCTACACCATCGTCCACTCGTCCGTCGACCCTCGTGACCTCCACACTCCTGTCGGCTCACGCCTGTCACCGTCACCACTCACCAGCGTCACCGCACTCGACAGGCAACACCACAGGCCGCCTAATTCCTTAGAAAAAACTAATTAATTTTAAATTGACCGGGGGTTGACCGAAAGTTGACCGGGGCCGGGGCCGGGGACTCTGTACACAAACCGGGCCCGGGGCCGGGGCCGGGGACTCTGTACACAAACCGGGCCCGGGGCCGGGGTCACACAAATAACAAATTCAAACTTGAAAGAAATCACTAAAGTTAGATAGAGTCATAAAGTAACAAATAATTAAAGAGAAGCATGAAATTCATATGATCTATACGAAGTTTAACAACAAAATACTAAACAAACATGATCATAAAGAACTTACTCTGCTATCGTTCAACAACGGCTCAAGCCCTCAACCTCAAATCGGAAACTGAAAGTCTKAAACCAACCCAAATCTTTGATTGGAGAAGGTAGAACTCAAAAGAAGGGGAAAAGATTAATAATCGAAGCATATGAAGATTGAAGAATAGAAGGCAAAGCGTCGAGACTCATAATACTGATTAGTAATRAAGCGTATGAAGAATTGATTATTGAAGGATTGAAATCGAAGAGTCATCATGAAACTTGGGCCAATTTATTTAAGAAGAAACAAAATAAAAAATTAAATAGATATAATATTAAGAATAAAATAAATTTATATAATATTTTAAGTGAGTTGAAAACAGGTTGAAACGGGTTGAAAACATGTCAAAAAATTCAACCCAATCCAACCCATTTATTTAAATGGGTTAGATGGGTTGACCAATTTATTTAAATGGGTTGAAAATCTCAACCCAACCTGCTAATTTTGGATTGGGTTAATGGGTGGGTCATTTTTTGCCACCCTTACCCAAAATAAGAATCAAGTTAAGGTACATTACTTTTTCATGCAATCTGTCCACTTTAAAATTATTGATGATGTAGATGATATATTGTCAATTAATATTTCGGTTTGTCCTAAAATAAGTATCAAATTCTAAAAGTAAATATTTATTTTTCTATCTACCCTTAATTATAAGACGGATAAAATATCTATTTACATTTTTAAGGGTATAATTGTCTTTCGTTAATTAAAAAGTGTGATGATTATATATTCATAAAACTATGTGTTATTTTCATTGTGAACATTTATTTTAGGATGAAATGAGTAATTTCTTATTAAATGTATAATTTATCACGTAAAAATGAGTAATAAACCAAATAGATTCGAAACAATATTCACACATATTTTTAACCTCGTGGGATTAATTCAATCGACGATAAGATTTGGGTTTTTGGGGATCTTTTTCAACGTCACCGGTTCAAGTCATTTATGGTGCATTTGATATTCAGATAGGATGGAACAATACATTATAGAACGGAATATGAAATAACATGACATGACAGTTGTTCAACGTTTAGTATGAGATGACTAGTAATATGACCAATTTACCTCTGATGAGTTGTTTATATCTTTTATGTATTTTGATTGGTTCATGTAATTTATTAAATTACAATAAAATAAATATTTTTTTTATAACAAAATATATCAGTATAAAGTTTTCGTCAAGACAATTAGAATGAAACCAAAATATGAAGTTTGTTAACTTCCATTTTTTATTTTATACTATATATATATATATAATAAATTACATAAATTAACCAAAATATAAAAAAACATATACTAATAATATTTTGATGAAAGTAAAGTGAAAGTTTAAAAAATATAATATATAATAAATAAAATTTAAAGAAATGATAAGTTGTAAAAATGATGTTTTATTCAAAAAGGTATATTGGTAAAACATAGGTTTGTTCCTACTTGTTCCATGGGATGGAGTCAGGACACGTCTGTTTCATTTTGTTTCACTCTCGTTTTGTCTGTTTCACATAAAAGTCATATCAAACATGAAACAATAATTCATATTATGTTTTGTTAGTGTATCAAACGCACCCTGATTTTTTTAAGTGTTCTATGAAACCCCTGAAATTATTCAAGGTATGAACAAAATGATCCAAACACATATCGTAAAAAAAATCAGACATTTTATTGTAGGTAAAATGAGAATTGATATAAATCATGAATAAAAGGAAAAAGCAAATTCCATGAAAATGTAACGTACTTTAACTTTATTCATATTTTAGGTAACGCCCAATTTTAAAGCTTCCATTTTGGTACTTAAAATGTAAGTATCTGGGTAACTGGTTGAAGCATTAACTGATTACCACGCTGATGTGGCGAGTGATGTGGTATCCAACTCAATATTATTTGCTATTCAACTCAATTTCATCTCTTCACTCGTCATACCAGCATGATAATCGTTTAATACTTCCACCTGTTACCTTGGTACTTAAATGTTTAAAATTTTACATCTCAGGTAGCAAAATGATAGTTTTAAAAATATATTATCTAAAATAAAAATCAAATTAAAATACATTATTTTTTTCATATAATTTATCCAAAAGGAAATAAAAGAAATTAACATGTAAACAATGTGGGAAATAAAATGCTTTTTTTTTTAAATATATTTTCTACTCATTTATCTTTTTTTGGTGAGATTAGTATAAACGATGACACCACCATTGAAACTCTTCTCCAATATTCGCTCCCCTTTTCTCATCGATCGAAAATTGACTCCGAATTTGTTTGATTGTTTGTAAAATTTCAGCCAAATCTTCAATCGAAAACGCATACATGAAGAACAACTCATGACGTTATCCAATTGTAATTTCGAACCTCCATTCTTTACCTTTAATTTCGGATTATCTTCGATTATGTGTTGATCTGGTTTTGTTCCTCTGTATAATCTGTTGATGTTAGCATTAGTTGATCATCTTTATTTGCAATTTCAGTTTGGTTCATTGAAAAATTATTGAGATTGGTAGAACTTCAATTGTTTGCTAGGGTTAGGGTTTCTGTCAGATGAATTGCTATAATTTGTAGTTTTAAACGATCTGATGAATTMTAGTCTGATTTTCTTCATTAAGAGCACAAAATTTATGTAATTGTGTGATGGTTTTCTTAAGTGAATATTGTTTAATAATATTGTTGATGWGTGATTTAGGAGTTGTAAACCATAGATAAGCTGATACTCCATTTTTTTTTCAATAAAAACAATACACCATTTTGTGTATSTTCCGTGAGACAAGGGATATGGAAATGTGAGGGCGAAGTCACTTGGATAGGTGGTTTAATCGTTTGAGTGATGTTGTGTTGTTGTAAGGGTACTAAGTCACTTGCATACCGATATTAGTCCAGACAGAAGGCTGTTTCCAGTCTGGTTCTTGAACTCATATTATTAAAACCCTGTTATAGCTTTTGGTTTATAAGTTGGAATGTTATGCACATGATGACTGTTGCTTTCTATTCGGTGGTACAACTGTAGGTGTGAGACTGTGAGCATTCATCGGGTTTTGTTATTCAAGGTAGATTTGAAACCATTAGTTTTCTTCGGTTTCAAGGCAGTGCTCTTCCTCAATTTAGCCCTCACAAAACATACACAAAGTGGTCTATCATCTTTAGGAAAAATGGAGTATCGACTTGTTTATAGTTTATAACCCCTAAATCTCTGCTCAACAATATTAGGCAGTATTCATTTAAGAAAGTTATCATACAATCATGTAAATCTTTTGCATTTAACGGAGGAAATCATGCCATAATTCAACACATTGTTTAACATTGTAAATTATAACAATTAATCTAATAAAAACCTCACCCCTAAACATTAAATTCAATTTGTACTAATCTCAATAATTTGTCGAGGAACCAACACTGAAATTACATCTAAAGACGATCAACTAATGCCAATATCCATAGATTGTACAAGTATTTATTTGATGCATTGAACTATTGAGTGACAACCGCTTTCCAAGATACAATAAGGTCAATTAAAGATTTAAAGCATAATAATTTTGATAAACCGGTTAAGATTATTGTAAAGACCATTCTCAAATTGCATTTTCTTGGTGAGTATAAATATATGAACAAATCACTCACTGTTTCAAATTATAATTGTATGATCCTGTTCATCATTTCTTTCTATTTGAGATATCCTTTTCATTTTGCATCCTCCTGGGGCATTGTTATTATGGAGTATTTTATCAGATGTTTGGCTTTTGGGTTAACATATTATATGTGTTATTTGACACTGCCTATATTAACTTGTACAATTTGTATATGTGGGTTATTCTGGGCCTTCTCGTTTTAGTTACTAGTTGTTATCGATTCATAGTTTCACCAACTAGTTTTAGCAAACATGTTGCTATCTAATATACGCATTTGATTTAGCAAAAGAAGGGGAACACCATGTAATTGTGGTTGAGGTGTTATATTTGGTACTTTTTTTGGTAATCGTGGGTGTCTGKGCCAACTTTCGCACGCATCTAGACTAATCCCATGGGGACAGAAAATATCAGCCAGGAAAATCCCTGATGGCTCTAAAGATATCAGCCAGGAGAATCCCCAGTTGCCCTGAAGAAGGTCCCAGTGTCCCTAAGGAGACTCGAACCGACTCTATGGGGAGGAGCCTTGAGGGAATGCCTTTATTTGCTGGTTGAACCGACACTTTTTAGCATGATCATAGATTGTTTTGATAGTTCATTGCCTTCTTCAAGCTTAAACTAAATCCAATTTGTTTGAAAGCATAATTGCGTTCATCGTTCTTATTAGATTCTCATTTTTTTGAAGACATAAACAAATATATGATAAGATTAGGAGTTGAATGCATATCCGTTTATATCTCGTTCGTTTTATTTGGATGCTGCCTTTTTTTAGTTTGTTACCATTTTATGCCAAATAATCGTGGTTCCATTTTTTGGTTCATCTTCATTTTCAGTTCGGTATAACAGGACCCGACTTTCTTGGTTGATTTTATTACTGGTCTGACCTACATGTTTAAGTTTCTWTATTCATTAGTTTCTACTTGTATAACATGTTTTACTTGATTACATCGTCTGTTTGCACACCATTGCATTCTACACACACCATGAATCGTTTTTTTACATGTTATATTTCCCGATAACCTATTATATCACCTATTTACCTATATATTTTTTGTAGTATATAATATTTATATATGGAAAAATGAATTTGCATACCCTCCTCGCCTTTAGTGAGGTTTGAACTCTTGACCTTTTATGAGACTGGTCTCTGCCAATAACCTGGATACTGCCAGCCCAAAGACCATTTGGTAATGGGAAATTGACCAGAATAACCCCCAACAAACTTCACTTTTTAGCCACTTCTKTAAGGGAATTCTCATTTTAGCCCGAGTTTATGCAAATGCCTTGCKCATTTGTGTTAAGCCTATTCTCGGATTCAAAAAAAGGAAAAAAAGATCTTTATGCAAATTCCACATTTGTGTAAGGATCCCTATTTGTGTAAAGAATTTCTTTTTTTCTTAATCTGGAAACAGGCTTTATACCAATGCATAAGACATTTGTGAAAACTCGGGCTAAAATAGRAATTTGGTTCTAAAAATGGCTAAAAAGTGAATTTGGTTGGAAAGATTGGCTATTTTGGTCAATTTCCCTTTGGTAATTGCCTGCTTGCACACATCTTTGCGTCGTGCACGAGCCGGGGTCTTCACAAAAACAGCCTCCCGATCCTCGTGGTTGAGGTAAGGTCTGCATACATCCTACTCCTCCCAAACCCTACTTTTAGTTGGGATTTACTGGGTTCGTTTGGTTTTGTTTCGTTGTTGCTTTTTTATATTCATTGTGGTTCTTATTAATGGTTATTTAGCGAAATGACCTCCTAAAAAGTACTTTTTAAATCGATGACCTTTTGACAAGTTTTTAGGCATTCTTCTGTATGGAAGTGACATTCTTCTGTCAAGCAGTGACATTCTCAAATTTGTCAGGAAAAACCCTGGAGGGTCATTTAACCAAAGGATCCTTCTTATTAATAGTTGTAACCGAGTTTTTTTCCTTTTCATTTAATTTGCTTATGGTTGATCATCTGGTTTCTTCTCATTTCGATATTTTTAAGTACCGTATTACAGTGAAGTCGATGGCTAGTAGAAAACGGAGAATCCATAATGATGCCGAAATTAGTGCACTCCACAAGGAATGGGATGAAATTTCTTGCCCGATATGCATGGACCACCCGCACAATGCCGTTCTTATCATGTGCAGTTCTCATGGGAACGGCTGCCGATCGTTCATTTGTGACACAAGTTACCGGCACTCGAATTGTTTGGATCGGTTCAAGAAACTCGTACCCGATAGCAACGATAGCATTCCGACTCCCGCTAGTTTGTTACCGGAAAACGATAACTCAATTGAAGCTGATGGAAATCATGAATCAATCGAACCAGATGCAATTGTGGAATTTGCTGGTGGACCGTTAGGAACTGGAGATTCCGATCATACGTCAAGTTCGAGCTCGAGTTCGAGTTTGAAATGCCCGTTGTGTCGGGGAAGTGTATCGGGATGGGAGGTTGTGGAGGAGGCTCGGCAGTATCTGAATTTGAAATCCCGAAGTTGTTCTCAGGAATCGTGTTCATTTTCCGGCAATTACCGAGAACTTCGTCGGCATGCTAGGCGGGCCCACCCGACCGCCCGACCGTCTGATGTGGACCCGTTACGTGAACGAGCTTGGAGGCGGCTCGAGCACCAGAGGGAATACGGTGATATAGTCAGCGCGATTCGGTCAGCCATGCCGGGTGCGGTTGTTTTTGGGGACTATGCAATCGAGAACGGAGATAACCGGCTAGCCGGTGGTGATAATAGGGAGAGGGGTGGAGGTGAAGGCGGCAACAACGGACACTGGTGGACTGCGTTTTTCTTGTTTCAGATGATCGGGTCGATGGAAACGTCGCCTCCTGCCGACAGGAGGGGTGGCGGCAGGCCACGGGTTCCAACACGACACCGCCGTCGGCGGCTGTTGTGGGGGGAAAGCTTGTTGGGTTTACAAGATGATGAAGAGGAAGATGAGAGCGACGATGATCCATTTGGGCTGAATTTGGCGACGACTGATAACGATGAAGATCGTCATACTTCCGAGAACCCAAGGAGGCGTAGGCGCAGATTGACTCGATACAGATCAGATGAAGATCRGTCGTGAAAAATCCGGTAGCCTTTCCCTGCTCGTGAATATTAGGCAGGTTTATTTGAGCACCGTAAATAAAGAAGCGTGAAAACCAATTATTCATGATTTAATGAAAATGCATGATATTTATAATGAATATTTAGGTATATTCATTATGAATAATTTATGAATAGCTGGTTCTCACGGCTCCTAAATGAACCTTCGAAAACTTCTTTTTGAAAAGACTTTATGATCTTTTACGACAAAAATACCCTCGTAAGGTAAAGTGAGAAACAAATATAAAGGGTATATTTGTAAAAAAACGACGTCTTTCTTTTCCTTTATCTCCGGTTCACGAACATGAAAAATTGTTTTCTTTCCATTATGTCTCTTTTGAGAAGACAAATAAAAAAACTAAGGGCCGTTTACCAAATGCTTATCGGGTAAGCACTTACCTACAAGAGATATCATCCTCACTTACCTTATCGTGTAACATTCTCGACTATCAAAATGGATTGMTGGAAAGCGTCTTAAACCCTGGTAAGCACTTACTGGGTAAGATTCTCGGTTCTTTCAATGCTCAATCGGTAAGGCAAGTGATTTCAGTAAGCGYTTACCCGGTAAGTCTGTAGTTAAAAACCCTAACTTTCCGTTCCTTTCCATCCCTTTCTTTTCTTTTCTTTCCAAATACGAAAATACACTATAATACTCTATGCGGAAACCATTTAAAAATCCCTAATCCTCTTCGTATTGTTTTTGTTGCTTTTACGCAGATAAAGAAAACCGGGGCCATCCGTTTGGCAGCACGAGTGGAGAAATCGATTGATCGATCATGGAATTTGAATTGGAAGCCGGAGTCGTTTTTCGTTTAAAAAGATGAAGAAAGAAGCAATGGTTATGTTGTTAGCGTTGACAATCTGTTTGGGTTTGGGGTGGTTAAGAGGCATTTCTGTTGGATTTTGTCACAGGGTGGTTCCTAGGAATAGGATGGGTGCTGGGTGCATTTGCTTTTTTATGTGCTTGTTTAAATACAACCATTTTATGCGAAGGGTTTCATGAAACATTTGAATTAATGTATTTCCAATGGAACTTTAATCTATACATGGGTTCAGGGTCTGAGGATTCATTTGTATRATAYKTAYATGTGCATATAAGTAATTTGTCGAGTATGTATATGTGCATTAAAACCTGGAAACACCTTTTAATACCTACATGCACATGTACATGTCGTACAGATGAATGGTTACGACGTCCATGATTAGTTATAAGTTTTATGGAATTTCAAGGGCCCATAACTACTGAGTTATGTTGTAGACTGATTTTTCTTTTTAAATTTCAAAATTTTATTGAATTTTTTCAAAATTTCATCTACTTAAATGCATTAATTGAAGTTTCAATACTCGTAATTATAAAAACACGAATAATATTTTTGCGTAATTTTTTTTATTTTGAACACTTTTTAGAACAGGGACGGACCCAACCGCCCACTGGGACCGCAACCGGTTACTGGACCTAAGGTTAGTACTAGAATCTTTGGTCAGGATCGGGAACAAGACCTGTCGACCTAGTTTTAAATGGACYAACCTGAACCTGTCTAGTTCGACTRTTGACCTTCACTTCACATACTGRTCCTYATCTTAGCCCTCTCCTTCCATTCTCTATTCTCCACCTTGGGACTCATATGTGAAGCTTTATATGAAGCTACACAACTTCATCCTTTCAACAAGTTTTCTACATTTTGATCAAAGTCTTTTGAACGATTTTTTAGATCCTTTTTCCTTTAAAATTGACAATTCATTGTTTTCACCCTGTTAAACTATCTCCATCAATGGTTTACCATTAAGTATGGATGACTAAAGCAAATAGTGAATTGTAACCAAAAAACGAAAATATCARTAAATTGTAAATCCTGGAAACTAAAATMACAATGACTTACAAACCTCAAAGGACAAAAACTACAAGAAGTTATAACCACRAGGACTAAAATCATAATTTYAAAAGAATAGGGACTAAAATAGCAATTTTAACAAACCACAAGGACAAAACATGTAGTTTACTCAAAAAAATTGAGAACGCATTTTCATCAACATGCATGGCTAGGGTGTGAACGAATCTAGCTTTTAATGAATCACTCTGAGTTCGAAGTCGTTTATTTTGAGCTCGAACTTAATAATTCTCGAGCTCTAGTCGATCTTGTACACAAAATAGAACTTGTTTAACTTAATGAGTCGAGCTTCACAAAACCAATGCTTGAGTGCGCTTGTTCGAAAGCTCGGTTTAAAGTTTTCGAGCCATTCGAACATATACTTTTTTGAACCAAACACGCTCATAAATAATAAAATAAAAATACAAAAATTATCAATCTCGAGTCAATACACGATTTAATTGATTACGAGTACAAGACCATAAATAAGTATTGAGCTCGAGTTTGATAACTCAATAAAATTCGAGTTGAAGTCTTACATTGAAAAAGTTATTTGAGCTCGAGCATTGTATAATCTTTTCAAGACAGCTCGAATAACCTACTACTCGACTCGATTGAGTCGACTCGTATACATCCCAAGGCACAACGAGCCTGTCAAACACCCCCTTTCGAAGTAACCAAACTTTTACGACTCGAGTCGACTCGTTTACATCCCAAGGCGCAACGAGCATGTCAAACACCCCCTTTCGAAGTAACCAACTTTTACGCCTAAGGTTTAGACGCAGAGAGGCGTGGGGGGAAAGATGAGCTACCTACTGAGAACCTTGAAGAAGAAGGAGGAGGTCGATTCCATTATCAGAGACACCATCGATAAGCTTCTCGTTCTTCGATTCGGCAGATCTTCCGATTCCGTTTGTCTTCAACTCGATGATATCGTACGCACTCAAATTCAATTTTCTAGGGTTCGTATCCTTCAATCGATCTTCGTTTCTTAATTGAATTTTTGGCAGCTTTCGAAATCAGAACGAGAGGTATCGAAGTTCGCAATCATAGCATTAGTGGATGTTGATTCGGAGGAAATTCAAGTTTATACCAAGTATTTTGACATCACATTCATCCCTTCAACGATTTTCTTCTTTAATGCTCATCATATGAAGATGGATTCTGGGTAATCATCTCAATCTTATTTGATTACTGTATCTGCATTCCTGTTTTGGGTTTTTGTGTTTCTGAATCTTATGGTTCACAAGTTCTCTATTTTGTACTTTCAAAGGGTATTTCAGATATGTAACCATTAGGGCATCCAACAGGTAACACTGAGGGGCCTTTTATACTTACAGGTAAGATTTTAGCCCATCAAAACGACATCGTATGCAACAATTTACCCGGTAAACACTAACCATGTTAAGAGTGGTTGCCCACTTACCGGGTAAGGTACTCGGTCCTTGCCTTCGCTGTTTTGATCGTATGCAACAATTTACCCGGTAAACGTTAACCATGGTAAGAGTCCCTCACCCTCACTTACCGGGTAAAATACTCGGTCCTTGCCCTCTTACCAGATAAGATTCTTGATACTTGCCATATTCATCCGGTAAGGGGTTGTTTGTTCACCTCTTAATAGTTCTATTAAGAGGCAGCCCCTGAATCGTTAAAATGTGACTTGTTTGGCAAAAAAAGCCTGCCTTAAATGGTTCTAAAACTCTTTGAATGATTTTGTATCTTGTGCCTCCCTTAATCATTAAGCACCCTAATTTCATCGTAAACAATTACCAAACAATTATATTTCATTTTGCACTATATCATGAGAGCCTTTTAATCATTTTGACCACTTAATCATTTTACACCAAACCATTTAACAACTGCCAAACAGCTACAGCCCCTAAGGTAATATGATTTGGTCAACGCTTACCTAGCTTATTAGATGGGCATGACAAAGATCGAGAATCTTACTTGATAAGAGCGATAACTAGGACCCGATAAGTGAGAGTGACCACTCTTTCACGATAAGCGTTTACCGGATAAAAATGTTGCATAAGATATCGTTTTAATAGATTAAAATGTTACCTGATAAGTTAAATGGAAGTGTTGAATCTTACCGGTAAGCGCTTACCGGGTAAGAGTTGGGTAAATGGTCCTTAAGTGCTGTTTACCAAGCTCAAGCTCTTACTGGGTGTCACTTGCATTATCGATAATCATGGCAAGGATCAAGAATCTTATCCGGTAAGAGACATTGCAAGGACATGAATCTTACGCGGTGAGGGAGAAGACATTTACCCGGTAAGCGCTTACCGGGTAAAAGACGCTTACAACATAATCCATTTTGGTGGCCGATGATGACTTCCCCAGTAAGCATTTGGTAAACGACCTTTAAATTGTACACATTTTCATAAAAAATGTGTAAAATTCAGTGCAAACAATAACTGTTTTCTTTTTGGGTAACCATGTGTATCCGGGTCGGCTTACATGCACAGACTAATCCCGGGCAACCAAGAATGTCTTGGAGTCATCATAGAGTGAACCTCCATGGCCAAAACGGCTTTGGCAACACGTAGATTCGAACCGGGGAAGATGAGATTTCACATTACATCCCCGTGAGCCTTAATCAGTGCGCCACAGTCAATCGGCTAACAGTAATTTTTGTATTAGGAGGAAATACCATTTCTTGTTTTGGATGTAAGTACTTGACTAGATGCAAATGTTTTGATTAGTACCCAAATGCTATAAATGATTTTCAACATTGATAACGGAAAAATACTCCGTTCGTCGTAAAATTAATGTCCACAAAGAAAAAAGTTGCGGTATTAGAAATGTGTAATTATTACAGCCATCTTAATTAGGTAGAAGTGGAACGTAAACACCTACTTTTGAAAGTGAAAACTCGTATTGGGAGAAACTAAAATAGAAACATGGACACTTATTTATGTAGTAGTTAGGGGCCGTTTACCCAAACGCTTACCCGGTAAGTGCTTAACGTTAGGAGTCAATACTATAATTTATTTTATTGGGTAAGATTTGTAGTACATCAAAACGTATCATATACAAGAATTTACCCGGTAAGCGCTTACCCGGGTAAGAGTCGTCACCCTCATTTACCAGGTAAGACTCTCCATCATTATCATCGCTCTTACTGACTGGGTAAGATTCTTGGCCCTTGCCATGTTCATCCGGTGAGGAAAATTACCCGGTAAGTACTTACCGGGTAAGCGTTTAGTAAACGGCCCCTTAGACCTTGCCAATTTTCCAAAAATGGGATGTTGCAATTTTCACACAAGAAATTCTAAAATGCAATCACAGTACAGGGTTTTCACGGAAACAATCACTATATACTCTTTAAGGTAGAAGACAGGTAAACGTACATCCCACCTCCCATGACCATACTTTCGAGCGGGAAATACTGGGTTTGTTCTGTTTGGCTTTTGAATTCTAAATTGTAAATCATTACACTTTTCGTCACTCAAAGCAAGTAGTATACATATATATGGAATGATCGAGCTTGCGATGATTATTGTAGTCGATATAATCGTTTCCCATATGCTTTTCGTTCTTTCACAAACCATTTGTTGTTTTCACCCGACTCCAGGAGCGCAGATCACACGAAATGGGTAGGTGCATTTCACAGAAAACAGGATTTCATTGATGTTGTAGAGGTATGTCTTTTCTGTGTTTTCGCTATAAATCGTCAACTTTAAGATGTCATGAATCACATTTTGGAAACTGTTTACATGTACCGGCTAATATGTTCCATTTGCTGATATTTCGCACAAACTGAGGCTTTTCATGAAAACAACCGCTCTACTCTTTGGGATAGAGGTCAGGTATGCTTACATCCCACCCCCAGACCCACCCACCTGGAGGTGGGACATACTGAGCTTGGTTGGATTGGTTTTATGTTTTCACAGTAACACCACTCTACTCTTTGGGTTAGAGGCGAAATCTGCTTACATCTCACCCCGGAACCACCTCCACCTCGAGGTGGGACATTCTGAGTTTGTTTGGTTTGGTTTTATGTTCTTCACGAAAACACCGCTCTACTCTTTGGGATAGAGGCAAGGTGTGCTTAAATCTCACCCCCAGACCCACCTCGAGGTGGGACATACTGAGTTTGTTTGGTTTGGTTTGGTTTGATTTTATGTTCTTCACAAAAACACCACTCTACTCTTTGGAATAGAGGTCAGGTCTGCTTACATCCCATCCCCAGTCCCACCTCCACCTCCACCTCCAGGTGGGACATACTGAGTTTGTTTGGTTTGGTTTTATGTTCTTCATGGAAACACCGTTCTACCATTTCGGATAGAGGCAGGTCTGCTTACATCCCACCCCTAGAACCAGACCCACCTTACGGTGGAACATACTGAGTTTGTTTGGTTTGGTTTTATGTTTTCATGTGAACACCACTCTACTCTTTGGGGTAGTGGCAACGCTCAAAATGGTTTGTTTGGTTTTTATATACCGTTTTGCAGAATTTTTTAAAGAATTGTTATCTTTCTAAGACTTGTATTATTAATTAATTTTGGAGAGGATATTAGTCAAACAATAACGGAGTTTTCAGAATCATTCACGAGAAGACTCTTTTAAGTTTTCAGCGAATCCTATTCACGCTGTGTACGAGATCGAGATTTATGCATCTCGTTAGGAGGTGACGTTTATTGATACGTGACCTACGTTTGTGTTGCAGGAAATATTTAGAGGGGCCATGAAAGGCAAGTTGATAGTGAATTGCCCACTTCCTCCAGAGAGAATACCAAAGTTCCAGTTATTATATAAGGATATGTGAAGAAGGTAAATCTGCTCTATTTGATAGTGATCTTCATGGTTTCTTTCGCTGCCAATATGGGCTTCACTAAGTCGAGTTTTTAACGAGCTACTCGAGCTCGAGTCGTAGCTCGTTTAACTTAACGAGTTGAGCTCCATAACACTAATGTCAACGCGTTCGAAAGCTCGATTAAACTTTACGAGTCGAGTCGAGCCATTCGAGCATACACTTATTCGAGCCAAACATATTTATATGTTTACAAATTACATAATCAAAGCGAGTTAATGAGTTAATTGATCTCTAGTTTGAGCTCAAACCTGCTACTCGATTCCACTTGGCTCGTTTGAACCACTAGATTCACCTAGGTGTGTTTGGTAGGCAGGACAGGATGGTATAGGATAGAACAAAAACTTGTTGTCTCATATTTGGTGCAACATTATACCGGGATACAATGGGGTTGAGTGGATAAAATTGGATGTTTGTTGTCCCCAAAAATAGGTGGAACAAAGCACAAGGGTTGTGGCATAGTGGTTGAGGTCCTGATAGATGGGACCCGTTTGCGCAGGTTTGATTCCACGCGTACACAATAATTATGGCCAGTTTATTAGGGTTGATTTCTTGCAGTCATAATTTGCTGGGATTAGTCCATGTATAGCCCGGGACACCCTTAAAAAAAATAAGAACAATCACATATATGGGATAATGAGGTTGGTAAATCACTAAACTACTCATGTCAAATTAAAACCGAAAACCTTCCACAATTCTTTCAACTTTCTACTTCATTTTTTGCCCGTCCAGTCTAGTCTAGTCCTGTCTGCATACAAAACGCACTAATGTCAGTGCATGTGCCACCATTTTCTTGAGTTCTGTTTTCTTGGTGCAGTGCAAGTTCGGATGATCTTGCACCCTATCATCGTCAAGGGCGGATTTAAGAAGACCGGCTCTATCGTGCTGACACGGTGGAATCTTTTAGGCCTCTTAAAGATGCACCCGCTTTAAATTGATATGTGCTCTCTTAAGTTAAGGAAAAGTGGTTGCAGTCTATTGGTAGTGTCATTGCATGTGGCATCAGAGGTTGCAAGATTAGTTTTTTTGGTAACAACTGAAAATAAGGAAAGAAAACAACTTGTTTGTCATTTCTAATGGAACTGTATTTTTTATAATTAACGGTTGTTTTATTTTATACGAAGAGCTTATTCATTTGAGAACCCCAAATTTGTGAGATCCATGAGAAATTCTACCTTTTAAGTTTTTGTTTCATATGATTTTTTTTATCTAAGTTTAATACTTAAAGTATTGATTAACATATATTTGTTTCACAATGTATTTGTTTAATGTGTTCGGTTCACAATATGAAACTTTTTTACGCACATTTTTTTTGTTTCACAAACACACCTAAAAGAATCACATTGTGAATCGAGTACGTGTGAAATAAGTACATTATGAAACAAATATATATTAATCAATACATTAAATTCTAGCCATAGATAAAAAAGAAACATATTAAATACGACATTATGCATCCATTCTCAGAGATTTAGAGAGTTCTCAAAGCCCCCTGTTTTGTATTAAGCTGATTATTTTGTGCCTCATCATGGATTTTTTTTTGGATTCGCCTCTGACTCTGTCTATCATCTTCATCTTGAATTCGAGTACGTATGATCAAATATTTAGAATATTTTTGGTTCAAACATACGACGGTGAACATCATGAATTTGTATTACAACATGGTTTATAAGTTATAACACCATGCTAAAAATTATATTGAGAATTACTTCCAAACCGCAAGAAGTTTCTACGTCTCAAACTGTTATGAAAAGGTCCAATACGTTCGGCATAGCTCCTACTTTTTGGTTACCCGAGTGTTGTATACGCCATCCACTCAATCCCCTCTTTCAAACACTGCTGCAGCCCCCATACCGGAACCTATAACATTGATATGCTTCAATATTCATGGTTGGTAAACTAGCTGATAAACTAATTATATTTGATAAAAAACTAGCAGATAAGTTAGATCTCAATGTTGCCTAAATGAACATGTCGAAAACTTAATTGGGAAAATACAACGGGCATAATCTTAGAGATTACTGAAACGCTACTTGAAGTAGTTTTTTTCAAAAAAACTAGCTTAGATTGTTTCCAACGGTTTCTCGATAATTTCTCCAAAATAGAGAAGGCAACGTCAAAATATCCAAAAAAGAAATTGCGTTCCAACTTCAACAGTTTTTCTATTTTGAAAATTCCAACATTAATTATATTATTAAAATATTCAATGATATAAAGAAACTACTTCTCTCCCTTTGGAGAAGTTGTCGGAGGGTCTTCATATCGGTAGACTTTTTCCATCTCTCTCATACTCTCTCCATCCGGAGAAGTTGTTAAAAACTCTAAAATCTCATTTTTCTACATTTTGGAGAAAAGTCGTTGGAGATGCTCTTATAAGCTAGTTTTTGGCTAACTAAACATGTGTTTTTCGATAATCTCAAAAAATAAGTTAACTTATGGTTGTCAAACAACACCTTGTACTAGGTTGTACATGTGTCAAGGCAATGGCAAGAGCTTTTACCAGTCGGGGATGCACACGTGTGACGGTGTGAGTGGATAAAAATCACCTATCCCAAATTTTCATGTCCCATTCATATCCACCAATCATATGATTAGATGTAAGGAGAGAGAATGTAAACATGAATTTAAATAAATTTAAAATAAATGAAAATCTGATGTGTCTCAATTTCATTAGTGGGACAGGAATGAGACGTGTGATTTTGAGATAGGTGATTTCTATCCGGTGTGAGTAGGGACAGTAATAGAGTAAGACGAACCTATGCACATGGAAACAACACCGAAACGACTATCTTTCCCACGCCGCTTCATCTCGTGAAGTAAAGTAGCGACACAACGAGCTCCTGAGATTTGAAAAGTCACAGGTCCGTGAATGAACGAAGATAGAAAGTAGAACCGATTACTTCTGAATACGAAAAGGGTAGTTTCGGAATATACTAAAGTTACCTGTAGATCCCAATGGATGCCCAATAGCCATGGCTCCTCCATTAACATTAACATTTTGAGGATCAAGTTGTAGCTTCTTGCAGCAATATACAAATTGGGATGCAAAAGCCTATATAACATTTTAAGTGAACAAAGGGTTATTGGCTTAGCGGTACCCAGATTACCGTTAAAACCCAGATTTCCAAAAAATTAAAGGGTTCAAACTTCACCAAATGTGAAGAATGTGTGTGAGTATTTGTCTTATACAAGGGCAGCCCTATTAAGCGCTGATGGGGTCCCATGTACCTGTTCAACTTATTTTTGTAAGTAGAATTTTGTTCGAGATATAAAATGTGAACCCGTTAAACTTTGAGCTGTGCCCCAAGATATTAGAAGATCCCTCAAACTCAACCCAAAGGACCGTAATACGTCCCTCGAGATCCACCAAAAACCCGTAAAGCGTCCCTCGAAATCGATTAAAAAACTTAATTTTTTTAAAGGTGGAATTCACCTAAAAACACAATGGACTACTTTGTGGGCCGTTGTTCCACCTTAAAGGTGCACCTGCTTGGCAAAAATTCTGGATCCGCCACAGGCCGTATATAAATATCAGTGTTTGTTCATATAAGAATGCTAAATATTGTGAGAAGATAAGAAAAAAAGATTCATATGCGAATCATTGAGAAAATCCATTTGAAGATGTATATATGAGTCCATATGAATAATCTATAACATCAGTTCCCATCAAATATATTTTTTTTGGATTTTTATAATGATTCATAAATGCATTTTCTTATAACATTCCCTTATTACATTCTCACGATATTTAACCTTTCTTATTTGAACCAACCCCATAAACATTATATACTTAAAAAAACCGCATTGAAGTAATATAAAAACCAACTTTACGAGGCAGATAGATGATTTCAACTCCGAATTAGCAAAAATGAAATCAAAATCGTTGTAAATTTTGAAGGATATGGTAAGCGAAACCCGATACCTCATTTATTTCAAAAAGATCGATGTTATCAAGCTCGAGACCTGCCGACTTCACGGCAATCGGAATGGCAACAGCAGGACCTATGCCCATAACAGAAGGATCCACACCAACAACCTCAAAACTCCTGTATGAATTATTATTGTAAATGTACACATAGCAAGAACCATATATGATCCAAGAAACACTTTTAGAAATAAGTAATCATTATACTTTTTAATTAACTAAATGATAATTTTACCCTTCTCTCATTTCATCTTTAAGAATAGAATTGGAAAACAGACACTTGCTTTTGAAAGTGGACTATTATTTTGGAACAAACTAAAATAGAAATATGGACCATTATTTTAGGATGAAGGGGGTGTCAGGAATTGAAATCTGGAGACGATTCGATGACCGGATAATCTTGTTGGATCGTGAGAGTTCACTTTCCAAATACAATAATTCCTCCCTTATAGCCTTGGGGTATCACAAATTTCGTATTGGGATAATCCAGGAGAAACTCTTATCTCAAAGGCTGTGAGATAGACCCACAAGGGGGCGCGACCCTTGACCCCCACCTTACGGCAATCTAAGGTGATGAAGACAACATTTGTGAGTGTGCACTCGGCACCTCCTAACTCACTTATGTGTGCCTTATCGCCTAATCGATCTTTTACATAAATCAAAATCACACTAAAATAATTGACGACATTGAAATAACCAACAGGGAGTATAAAAAGTCAACTGAACTACTTTTGAGCTTCAAAAGATCAAACATACCTGAATACACCAAGAATTGGAAGACCCTTCTTTAGAGCCAAACTTCTTTTCATGAGGAGGACTGCAGCAGCACCATCGGTAACTTGACTTGAAGTCCCTACTCGAAAAATTTAACATTAAGGTTTTATGAGGCAAATTTTTTGAACTAGTAAAATGATAGTAATCATTCAGGACCTTTTTGGTTTGACGTAATGTTTTTGAGAGATTTTGATTTCATGAAAGGATTAAAAAATATTTTTTGATTAACCTGGATATTTAACCCGCTATGTGAGCCGACTAATCCCAGGGCAACCACCTGCTTTGCAGATAGCCCGGAGTCACCGCATTTGACCCTAAACTCTAAACCCTAAACCCTTAAAAAATATTTGGTGTGTGGTTTGCAGGATTTCAAATGGAAGTGGTTTTTAACATATTTTAAAACATTATTACAAACAAATCCCATTAGACCTTATGAAATACCAACTATCCTCATGGGATTTCTAAATCCTATGTTTGTGGGATTTCTTTAAAATCCCGGGTTTTCCTTTAAACCTAACACAGGATTGGAATGAAATCCAATTTAAAATCCGAGCAAATCATGCAAACCAAACATACCCTTGGTTTTTTCTTGTATGTATATATCTAACCATATATACCTGCTGTTGTTGTACCATCCTTTTTGAATGCTGGCTTCAGTTTTGCTAGATCAGCCATGTTTGTGTTTGGCCTAATACCATCGTCTACAGATATCGTAACCGGCTTTTCCTCTCCGGTTTTAGGGTCCACAATCTACGAAAGAAATCCACGTGGCTTTTCAAGGTCAAAATTGACTAATATCAAATTCAGGATTGATGTGAATTATCTTAATATACTATGAGAAAATTTTGATAATTGCATCAAATGTAATACTTTCTACCATCCCAAAATAAACATCCACGATGAAAAAGACACAATTTTAGAAATGTGTAACTATTACACTTTATAATTAACCGAATGACAATTTTACTCTTAATGATAGGGACAATAATTAATTTCTCTGTCTCATAATCAAAGGTAGAACTTGAAAGTAGCAGCTTGCTTCAATATATGCTGTAATGGATTGACCGAAAAAGTTAAAATATTTACCTTCGTATGAACAGGAACAATCTCGTCTCTGAACTTCCCAGATGAAGTTGCTATAGCAGCACGCTTATGAGATTCGACCTATTAAAAACATGGATCTTATAGGGTTAAAATCACACTGATTACCACCACAAATTATGCAAAAAAGAAAACAAACCAAAGGTCATTGCCCAACAGTACCCGGTTACCGGTAGATCCCAACCTCTCTGGAGGTCATGGGTTCAGGTCTAGCCAAAGGTTGCTGGCCAAGTGTCGTCGCCCACACACCACTAGTCTCCTTTACGTGTATGATCACATGTAATAAGGGTGTTTTCATTGTGAATTGTCACAAGTGATAGGTATTCTCGTGTTTTCATAGTGAATTGTCACAAGTGATAAGGGTATTCTCGTGTTTTCATAAAATGGATGTGTTCCTGTTTGAACCTCCACCTCCACCTTCTATATATATATAGATAGATAGATAGATAGATATAGACACAGACTTCAAGAAAAAGAGAAAGCAAGTTAATTGGGTCTTAAAAGCCAAAACTCACTGCAGCCCGATCTTGTTCTTGCCTTGTGACACCAAAACGCTGGGCCACATTTTCAGATGTGATTCCCATAGGAAGAAGGCAGTCTCTAGCTTGTGCAAATTTATCCACCTGTTAACATATTAGTACCTAGTTATAGAACAATTCCTCAAAAAATCTGTTCTAAGGGCATGTTTGGTTTGCAGGATTTGGAGGGATTTGGAATTGAATTCTATTCAAGTCCCAAGTTTGGTTTAAACAAAAGTCTGGAACTGAAATCCCACAAACATTGGATTTGAAAATCTCACAAGATAGTTATAATGGTATTTCATGGATTTCATACGATTTGTTTGTGATCATGTTTTAAAATATGTTAAAAACATTCATTTTTCCAAATTCTTCCGAGATTTCCAAATCCCTAGAAAACAGTCAAACCAAACGGACCCAAATTCTAAAAAAAATACAAGACTGGAATTGAAACTGACTTTTGGGTTGACTTTGGAAATAGGTCCAATTGAGTCGATACTCATTGATTCTACTCCAGCACCAATGCCTACATGAAGAGGTTATAACATAAATGAGGATGTGCAAGGGTGCCTTTGATGGTTATTTTTCTGTATATAAATCAAGGGTTGGGTCCTAGTGAGAACAACCTCTTTCTCATGTAAAGATGCACAAAATACCTCAGCTCGAAATGCAGCCTAGACCCCTGGTCCCGACCTCAAAGGCTAATCAGACCAACTTTTTATGAGAAGGCCGGGTCTGAAAAGCCTGATAGGGACTTCTTTCAACCCCAAAACCCGACCAGGTCTGAAAAAGACCGAGCCTTGTGCATCTATATTCGTGTGAAGGTGAGAGAATGTGAACCCCTTTATATCGTGTGAATGTTTGTCGTGGGACCTCTGAAGGTACCTTTATACAACCTTCACACAATATATTGTAACCTTCCAATGCACAGTTTCAGGTCATGTGAAGGTTGTAATCTTCATAGAGTATACCGTAACATTCACACAGAATGAAAATACCTTCATCGTTTCTCTACTTCTCACAAAAATGAAGAAAAAAAACTCACATGATCCCGACTATATAAATCTAAAACTCAACCAATAAGTAGATTATAACAATGTTGCTGATTGCTTTACCTATATCATAAAATCCTGCTTTTATGTAAGCAGCTACATCAGCAACTGCCTGTAGGCCAGATGAACATTGTCTGTTCACTGTTCTGATGGGCACCGTATCTGAAACAAAACTCGAATTTTATCGACTCTAAACAGAAAAAAATATTAATTAATAAAGATATTGTAAGAACATGTGGAACCCCCCAGATTTACTCTCCCAAAGAGCTCTTAATGAGAAATGAGAGATTTCGACATATATAGAGGATAAATGTCCAAGTCTAGCTGATGCAAAGATTCTAATACCCCCTCCAACAAACAGTAGACGGGCCCAGATTGTCCTTGAGTGTAAATTGCTCGTCTTTGATACCATGTAAGAATATGTGAAACGCAAATTTAAACTCCAAAAGAGCCCTTAAAAGAGCCCTTAAGGAAAGAAGAAAGGTTCCAACATATATAGAAGAGAATTGATCCAACATAGGCTAGAAGGGCACAAGTTATCCTTAAGTGTCAAAGAGTCGAGAGGGGGCTAGACGAGAACATATTACCCTAGAGTAGTAGACCTTACAGGCTAGACGGGCACAAATTGTCCTCGAGTGTTGAGAGGGGGCTAGACGGTTAAGAGAGCTAGACAAGAACAAATTGCCCTAGGGTACCCTCTTGTCTTTGATACCATGTAAGAATATGTAGAACCCTCATATGTAATCTCCAAAAGAGCTCTTAAGGAGAGAAGAGAGGTTCCAACATATATATATATATAGAGAGAGAGAGAGAGAGAGAGAATAAATGATCCAAGTCTAGCCAATGTGAGACTTCAATACGCTCCCTCCAATGGAGGCTAGATGGGCACATATTGTCCTCGAATGTTGAGAGGGGGATAGACGAATGAGAGGACTAGACGAGAACAGATTTCCCTGTAGCAGTAGACCTTAACTCTGATACCATGAAAGAATACGTGGAATCCCAGATTTACTCTCCAAAAGATCCCTTAAGCAGAGAAGAAAGTTTCCAACAAATATAGAGGAGAAATAGTCAAACTAAAATATATGAGAACATTCAAACAGGATACCTGGGAAACCAGCATATATTGCAGCCATTCGGCATTCAATTCCCCTTTGAGAACCTGGTGCAAGAACTGTACCAACAACTATATCTCCTACCTCCCTGGGATTCACATTTGTCTTCTCAATCACGGCCTAAACAACCATTATTACATGAAAGAAGATAAATTAAAACCTTGTAATTAGCCATAAAGATATTAAAGTTAAAGCAAGATAAAAACATTTTGACTTTTGGGAGGTCAAACATATTTACTAAAAGTCAAGATTTATGTAAATTTTGTTACAAATGGATCACCAAGAGTTTTTTGTTTTGTACTTTCGTTATGATTAACCAATATCGCAAGAAAAAGATAGGTTTAGCTTCAACACTTGGGTTGTGGTGCACTAGGGGATATAGTGGAAATATCATCTTCCCATCCTGTCATGGCGCTGCCAAAAGCCTCGTGGCCATGGAGGTTCACCTACGATGACTCTGGGCCATTCGTGGTTGCCCGGTTAATAGTCGTTGCGTGTAAGCTGGCCGGTTACCCGTGGTTACTCCCAAAAAGAAATTGACTTATGAGACCAAACCAAACCAAACCAAACAAACTAGTAGATCCCACATAGATGTAGTCTTGGGGGGCTAAGATGCACGAAGACTTGCCTCTACTCTAAAGGGTAGAGAGGTTGTTTCCGTGAAGACACCACCGGCTTGCAAATGAGATAAGACATGATTTCTAATTCAATATTAGAGTAAAAAATTACAAGTTGATCATCCAACAGTTTGCTATTTCAATTTCTGTCAAAAAATTCGTCGTAGGCATCATTTTCTAGATTCGCATGAATTTAAAGTTGAAAATTAATCTATTTGGTTACCTCATATATCAAACTACATCTCATCTCCCTCTCCATTATAGCTCTTTAAGCCCTGTGTAGATTAAGTTGTTTAAATAAATAAATTTGTGTCTCTTAAGGGATATGAGACATGGGTTTGAGGGACACAAAAAGAGGGTAGGATTATTTCTAGGCATTTGTGGTATTAATTTGTTTGAGGTAGCTTAATAGGGGCAAGTGAGGGGTCATGGCTTATTCCATATAACCGTTTTGGCCTAATGGCTTCACGATTAAACCATAAAGAAACACTCACGTATCGCTCAGCAAATATTAAACTCATTAAGCTGTAAGTAAACAGCCTTTAAAAGATGTTGCAATAAACCAAAATGACATATCTAACCTTTAGAACAGTTGATAGTAAATCATCAGGAAGAGTATCCTTAAAACCACCACGCTTTGATTTGCAATGAGCGGTACGGTAGGCACTGTTTGAGCACAAAGTCACGTAAATGAACACGGCACAAAGTATACATTTACGTATAATTCAGTTTTTTTGCATAAGAGAATGTTTCGTAAGTCGAAAAAAGCGAAACTTACGCAACAATGACAACATCATCTCCAGAAGCAGGTGTCCTGTGATAAGTAGAACTCTCCCCAGCTAAACAACTTGAGGCCTAGTTGAAGACAATGAGAGAAGATATCAGTCACAATGTTTACAAACCCAAGTCATTAATCTTAATTAACCTTGAAAACACAATTTAAAATTCTCATTTAAAAGAAATAACCCAACAATATAACACTTTAATCTATAAGAATAGTTCGATAACTCATCCACAAATCTTTCTCTTCAGTATTAAGTTTTAAAATTTTCTTTAAATTTGGAGATTTTTACATTCTCTTCCTTCATTTCTCTATTTAGCATACATCTAGGCCCTATTGGGGCACCCTGTCCTGTGGGCCAATGCGAATAAGCTTGGGCTTTCTTAACGTGGCTCATTTGACGACTTAGTTCATGGATGTCACGAGTCCATTGGCATAGAATATGAAATCTTTTCCACGTAAGTTGGTTGTACAAAGCTTGTTTGTTCATATAGGTAGTGTGATTTGAGGATCTTTTGTTTGCTCCACAAGGTAGCCAGAGCCAGCCATTTTTTTACAAAATAGGCTGACCTAGTAGATAAATCAGGAATACAGAAACAAAAACGGCAACTTTAACTGTAACTTTATAAGGGGTGCTCAAGAAACCGATCAACCTGACCAACCGGCCAACCAAACCCGATAAAAATCAACCTAAGGTAGCCCACCATATAATCGATACAAGATTAAAGCAAATCGAATCTATTGGGTTGAAACTGGATTAGGCCCAAAGTAACCCAACCAATCCGATAAAAGTTTTAGCGGCTTCTCTAAAACTATTTGTATTTCTCTTTAGTATGTAATTAGAAAGTTATATATGGTACCTGAATATTTAATAAACTCGTATATTCTATTGAATGATTGATCGTATTTCAAAAGAAGTCCTTTATGTTTATGTTTTCAATGTTGATTTTACTTTGTGTAAACACAACCAGATCAATACAAATGAGTTGGGTTGAAAATTTTCAAACCGTCAACATCATGTTAGGTTGTTCAAATGTCTTTAACCCGATAAACTCAACTCATAAGCATCCTAGTCGTAAGATCGAAAACTCATAGGAATCCTTTTCCCCCATTTTTTGTGGAAAAGAAGAAAGTAATTATGAAAAGAGAAATGCATGTTATCCCTACATGATTTGTCTATGAAGGAATAATAATGATGTTGATATGTGCAATTATGATTTATAGCTATAATATATATCCGTACTTAAAAATAAAATAAAATGTTCATCTAACATGTTTAATACCAGTAATGGTACCTAAAATATAAAAGCATGCACATGTGCACACGATACCCCCAAATGGTGTCTTTTATGAACAAAATGGTATTTTCACGTTTTACAAATATGAAATTGGTTTAATGATATTTGTATTTGTCAAATTCAAAATCAATATTTTAATAATAATAAAAAGGTAAAATATATGAAAATTTGATAAAGTTTAGTTTAATTCTTATTTAATATAACAAATAGTTTTTTTTTTCTTTCAATCGATATAACAAAGTTTTTAAATTTGTTATTTTATACCCATATTGACCTTTATATGTTAATCGATCTTAAGACATTTGATAACGTGAATACTTGTTTACGAAATGGTTATAACGAGGTGGACAATAAACTTTGACATCCTTTCAAATGTTATAATATCAGTAAGTTATCCATATACACACAAACACACACGCATATTATATATATACACACGTTAAAATCATATAAAAATTATTTAGAAATTAAAAACGTGAAAACTAATTTATATGTATTGTTTTATTGATTAAACAACACATGTAAGAATATACAGTGTTATTTTATATATAAAACATCTAAAAAAACTGAACTATATTCATAATGTGAAACAAAGAACAAAACATATAAAACTATTATGAATTATATTTAAACAAACTGACTTTTAAACAATTTTTTATATGATTTGTGGTATGTAAAAAAGAAGTGAAATTCTAGTATGATCCATAGTGGGTGGTGGGTCTCAGTGGAGTATGATGGCCGGGTCAAGAGAACGAAAGTGGAAAAAAAAGCAATTTTTAGCACTACTTTTTTGATATTTAATAATAATTTTTTTGTTATTTTATTAAAACATAAAAATTATAATATGTATTCATTATTATAGTTTTAAAATGATATGTTGATTTATACTATATTATAAATTAATTGACAAAAAAAATTAAAATATTTTTTTATGTATAATATACTGTATTGATGTATATTACTTAAAATTCAATATTACAAGTAGAATGTGCATTAATGCACCTTATTAAAACTCTATGTTTAAATTTGTGTAACTAACTGTAGATTAGCATAATCAAATACATAGTACACATCATTTTAAATATAAAAAATAAAATATAATTAAAATAATCATTGACTTAATTATTATCTTAAAAAATTATTTTATTAAACCAAAAATAAATTAGTTCGTTTTTAAATTTCAATTAAATTTTAATAAAAATTGAATTAAATAAATTACATAAAAACGATAACTTTTAAATAGTTAATTTGATACTAATATCATTTATCTTTTTTGAAAATTTTATAATATTTTCAAATTTATATTTCATTCAAAAATAAAAACATTTTCTTTTTGTCAAAACTACATAAAATCGTATTATATCGATAAAGCCGAAATATAAAATGAAACATTAAAGCAAGATATATCTCACTGTATTGCGCGAATACCCTTCTAGTATATGTAAAATCATTAACCTTTTCGAGACATTTGAAATTTAAATCTTAACAAAAAATGAAAAAATTGTATTTATTTTTTGTATATAAAATAATATATTTAAAAAAAATATTTTATATTATAAAACTTGTTAAAATTAAAGTAACAATTTTTTATAAGGAAATATTATATCA